TGACTCCTATTTATGACAGTTGCAGTGTCCCGGGGTCATGTGATCCCCTTTTGTGACCTTCTGACATGCAAAATCAATGGGGAAGCCAGATTCGCTTAACCGTGTGACTAACTTAACAACTGCAATGATTCACTTAACAAACGTGGTATGAAAATTCGTAAAATGGGGCAGAAACTCACTTAACTAATTTCTCACTTGGCAACATAAATGTTGGGCTCAATTGTGGTTGTTGAGGACTACCTGTATTAGGTACTTTCACCATCTTGAATTGTTTATTAAAAAAATATAATAAAAGCAGAACAGAAACTAGTTATCTTCTAAACTTTGCTTCAGGCCATCTTTACAAAAGCTGCTATCTAGCCCACACTGCCAACATCTTAAAACAGCCCTCCCAGCCTGCTATAGTAATAAATCATGTTTAAACTATCCAAATTAACAGCCCATGGCAGAAACAGAAGAGCCAAGAGTGAGGACACCCTAGTTCTGGGTTACTGGGACAAAGTCTGCAGCAGTCAAAATGATTTTTTCAGCCAAAATCAAAACACACTGTTTTTATAAATCCTTTCACGGATGGCTATCGATTTTGTTTGTGTTTGTGTGTGTGTGTGTATGTGTTCACTAGGTTTCCCAAAAATGTTTTTTAGCTTGTTTACTTATTTTATTACTTGGGAGTCATGATACATACAAACTATATCAGGCAGTGAGGATTGTCCTCATGCAAAGACACGGAAACAGATTTCAATAAAGGCGTTTTAAAATTACTTAGATTTTATATATAGCATGGAAAATTGGGATGTTGAAGATATTAAAATGTTTTATTACTAAAAGAGGAACATTCCCGTCCAAGTGAAATATGAACTATGGATTCCCCAAAACAAAAGGGTGCTTTTTTTTTTTCTTCTTCAATGCTTCCAAACCACTGGCAATTTTTCCCGCACTCGTGAGAATTCAAAAATAATGACAAAAAAATTTACCTGGACTTTACATGTAAATGACATTTATGTACCGGTGAGTTTCTTGGGGGCTGTTCTGGAAAAGAGACCCCAAGCCACCTTAAACTAAAAAAAAAAAAAAAAAAGCAAGCAACCTGGCATGCCTCCATTGGTTTGCAAGCCAGGAAATCTTGACTGTAAAGCTGTTGTAAAAAACATCTCTTCACGTCCGTCCTGCAAATATGTTAAGACTGTATTTGTTTTGCATTCCTGAGTATCTCTTCGGTTCTAAATTTAGACTAAATAATTTAACAGAGGACAGAAATTTTGAAAAAAATGGGTAAGAGAGCTGGGGTAGCATGTGGAAAATTTCAAACAAGCCAGTCTTCCAAGGCTGCCACAAAGAAGATTGGGTCAAGCTATTCTCCAAAGCACCTGAAGGCAGGACAAGAAGCAAAGGATGGAAACTAACCAAGGAGAGAACCAACCTAGAAATAAGGAGAAACTTCCTGACAGTTAGAACAATTGATCAATAGAACATCTTGCCTCCAGAAGTTGTGGGTGCTCCAACACTGGAGGCTTTTAAGAGCTTCCATTTGTCTGAAATGGTATAGGGCAGTGATGGCGAACCTTTTAGAGACTGAGTGCCCAAACTGCAACACAGAACCCACTTATGCATCGTCGAGTGCTGGGTGGGTGTGGCCCATTGACTGGGTGTGGCCCATTGGGTGGGTGTGGCCCATTGGGTGGGTGTGGCCCATTGGCTGGTGTGGCTGCCGTGGTAACGGCAGACTGGGTGGGACTAAAAAGTTCAATCAATCAATTCCAACTTTGCAAGATCTTTTTTTTTCCTGCGAGATGTTGAAATTGACTGATTGAACCTTTTTTTTTTTTTTTTTTGCACACGGTGGCTGAGGCCTAAAGCGAAAAGGTTTTATTAAACCCAACTGAAGGCCTAGGACTGGGGTGACAGCGCGCATGCCCACAGAGAGGGCTCTGAGTGCCGCCTCTGGCACCCGTGCCATAGGTTCGCCACCACTGGTATAGGGCAGTGATGGCGAACCTTTAGAGACTGAGTGCCCAAAAACCACCCTTGCCTCCCTGCCCGCCCCGCCCCGCTTCGCGCCCTGCCCGCTCCTCCCTGCTCCTCTGCAAGGCCACCCACCGCTTCCACAGCCCACCACAGTAGATCGCCCAGGCGGCCCAGCAGCACCGTGGCAGCTACGCCCTCCGCCCGTGCCCTGCAGCATCATCTGTGTGTGGCGGGGTGGGAGGGCGGAGTCTTGTCTCCGCTGCCCAGCTGCCATGTCCTTGGCTGCGCTGCTCCACGCGGACCGCGCTCAGGGGCGACTCTCCTCCAGGGGGGCTGCTGGTGCGAAGGAGGCCGTGGGGGGAGGCAGGGCTGGGGCGACAGTGCGTGTGCCCACAGAGAGGGCTCTGAGTGCCGCCTCCGGCATGCGTGCCATAGGTTCGCCACCACTGGTATTGTCAACGCTGCAAATACTGTATATTCTTGCTCTGACAATATGCAGAACTGTCTGGTATTTTTATAGTTAAACCAGGCAACAGGGTCACATCTTCCAAGTTAAATTGGAAGATGTGAACCATGACCCCAAAATAGAGGCAGGGAAAAATGCTTGGAATGTATGCCTAACGGAAGAGAAGCCAGACCTAAGCATTTCCATCATGCTGTACTGACGTCTCTGTAACCTTAATAAATGCTTTTAGGAGAAAATATGCCTGAAAGTCCTTTTAAGTGTTTCGTTAATCAGACACATGACCCTTCCAAATCTATTATTTGTCACAGATCAAAGTAAAAAGAAGCAGCTTCGACAGAAAAGATCAAAGAAGTGGCGAGTTTGGTATAAAGTGGGTGCAACGACCTTCCCCCTTGGTGGGGAGAGGTCAGGATAAGTGGTGGGTAGAAAACCAAGGCTTTTGTAGTTCTTAATTCCACATTGTTCTCATTCTCATTCTCTCTCTTTCTCTCTCTCACACACACAAACAAAAGTGCCAATGGAAAATTGTTTTGAGGGGTCCTTGCTACTCTGAGCTTGCTTGTTTTCTTGCAGATGTTTCATGACCCAGACTTGGTAACATCAGATGTTACCTACTTTGGTCATAAAACATCTGTAAGAAAACAAGCAAGCTGTCAGGGAGCAGCAAGGACCCTTCATTTCAACCCTGAGCCCCAAATATTCTCCTTTACTGAAAACCGTTTTGCAGGTAAGATTACAGACAGCGTGTACACCCTACCTTTACCTATTCTTAAGAGAAAAACGCACATTTTTCTGTATCAGGAAACACACAAGCTGATTATCACCTGCTATTGGCAATTTGGGACAGGCTTGTAATCTGCAACCTTGTCGTTCCCTCACCTTTTCCATCAGCTGCATCGTTTTCTCCCAGTTCCCAAGACTCCTGTTTTGCTCCAAAGCCATCGGCGCCAGAGGAATCAGTGTAATCTGCAGGGTTAAATGTCCTAAAGATCAAGAGAGGTGGAGAAAGTCAGAACTCTTAAGAGAAAGCAAGGCTTCAGTTAATTGTCTGGTCAGCCTAGCCCAGCATTTTCCCTTCCAACCTGAGCTAGAATGTTTCCTTGCAGACATTGTATTACCCAACTAGGTAACATCATCAGTACTAGAAGGCAGGGCTTTTCAACCGGTGGTACGGGTACCACCTGTGGTACATGGGCACGTCAGGTGGTACGTGACCATCCTAGAAAAGTGGTAGCGGGGGAGAGGAATGAGCTGAACCAGTGGCAGCACCGCACAAGCCTGAGCGAGAGACGGCTGGAGCTGCAGGGCTGTCAGGACTCAGCGGAAGCGCCAGGATCAGTGCCACTTTCCAGCTGATCGGCGCTTCTTCAGGGCTGTCAGGGCTCAGCGGAAGCGCCAGGATCAACGCCAGGCTCCAGCTGGAGCTCGGCGCTCATCCTGGTGCTTCTGCTGAGCCCTGAAGAAGCACCAATCAGCTGGAAAGCAGCACTGATCCTGACACTTCTGCTGAGCCCAGAAGAAGCGCCGATCAGCTGGAATGTTGCAGCCTCTCCAAGGTCTTGTGATTTACATTCAGATGCTTGGCAACTGATTCATATTTATGACGGTCACAGTGTCCCAGGGTCATGTGAAGTGACCAAAACCTGCTGCAACCACCTAGCAGACGGGGGGGGGGGGAATAAAAACCAACCCCCCCACCCCACCCCTGCTGCCAATCCTCAACAGAAATGCTCACAACAATGAAAACCTCGGACAGGAGGAAGAGCGCCACCGGGTGGGCAGGCAGGTGTCTTGCTCGGCTGTGGCTTGGGGGGCACTTTTTTCAGTGCCATTGTAATTTCAAACAGTCACTAAGCAAACTGTTGTAAGTTGAGGACTACCTGTACTTTATTACTTTTTTTTTTTTTTTTGGTCATCAAGTTTTTGACACCTTGCTGGTGGTACTCGGATGTTGCCATATCCTAAAAGTGGTACAATGGGTGAAAAGGTTGAAAAGCCCTGCTAGAAGGGAGTGGGGTTTGGGACAAGGGGGAGGACGATGACTGTGGGGTCCTTGGTGCTCTTTTGAGCCCAGTTGTTTTCTTGCCGATGTTTTACCACCCAACTAGGTAATATTATCAGTGCTAGAAGGGAGTGGGGTTTACTCTCAATTTATATTGCCCTGTCAATCCTGGTGGGAGTGGTCTTGTTGTTTGGGTTGTTTACTGTTAGCCTGTTTGGCAGTTCCTTGACTGTTGGACTGATGTTAATCTTGGTGTTAATCTATGCTCAGCTGGGTGTTGATTGCTGGTGGGGAGTTGTTTTGGTCTTTTTGATCCCTTTTTGGTTTGTTGATTGTCTCTTTTGCNAGCTTGCAGGACTGGCCTAGGGTAATTTTTAGGGGGGTTTTAATTATATTTTAAATTCGACAAATATTTAATATTCCTTTTAATTAATTTTAAATTTGTATTGTTTTGTATGTATTTTAAATAGATTGTCAGCCGCCCTGAGTCCTACGGGAGAAGGGCGGGATATAAATTCAAATATAAATAAATAAAATAAATAAATAAATAAATGATTTAAGAGCCCTGGTGGCGCAGTGATTAGAACGCAATATTGCAAGCTAACTCTGCCCACAGCCAGGAGTTCGATCCTGACCAGCTCAGCCTTCTATCTTTCCCAAGGGCGGTAAAATGAGGACCCAGATTATTGGGGGCAATGTGCTGACTGTAAACTGCTTAGAGAGGGATGTAAAGCACGGTGAAGCAGTATATACAGTTTTATTGCTATTGCAATGAGGTTTTATTGATCAATCAACTCATCAAAGGGGAATGGATGGTCTAAGGTCATCCAGCTGCTTCCATGCCTAAGAAAGAATTATAATCTGACTTCCCGGATTTCTGATTTAGATTGCTTTTGTCTTTATTCCTTTGCTAAGAGGAATAAAGGAGGCAGAAGGCCCTGCTCAACAAAATCTGCAGAATTTCCAAGCAGTATTGTTTGGTCCACATTTAGTTAAAATACAAGCTGTTATTAAAAACCTACCCCATGCCTTGGGCTGAAAATCTCCCAGTTCCTCTTCCTCTGGCTCGTCCAAATCCTACAGAAAAAAGGAAGAACTTAGTTTCCAAGGGCAAAGTGGATAAACGGAATTTCGAGAAGAAAAACAAGGAAATGAAAAAAAAAACACTTTCCCCCCCCTCCTTCTAAGAATAAAATGCATCTTGGACAAGGAAGCAGAACCAGATTTAGGATTAAGATAACTCGGTAGAACTAATATTTATAAGGAAGACAAGAGGAAGAATTGTTATCCTGCGAGAATCTGGTTTTTCCAAGATGTGGGAATGCAGGATCAAACCTGTCAAGGGTCAGTTTAAAAAAGCCACAAGACCAATAAAAAGAAAGAAAGAGATTATTCGAGGCTGAAGGTTGAACTGTGGATTCCTTGGTGCTCTCCGTGCTGAGTTGTTTTCTTGTGCCTAGTTTCGTGACCCAACTAGGTACCAACGTCAGTGCTAGAAGGAAGTGGGTTTTGCTCTTTGTCGTTAAGTGAATCTGGCTTTCCCACTGACTTTGCTTCTCAGAAGGCTGCAAAAAGCAATCACATCACTTTGGGACACAGCAACACTCATAAGTATGAACCAACCCACCCTCTCCACGGTCCGGTGTAGTGGGCCACAGCCCGGGGGTTGGGGACCCATGCTTTCAAATATGCCTCTTTTCTAAATCCCTCCATTCACCACCACTCAGCCAGAACCGAAGAAGTTTCTTGGATGAGGAGCGAAACGTTTTCAAAGAAAAAAAAAAGGTCCAAATTGCCTTTTGAAAAGCACCGTTAGGACAACCATGACCTGGATGATTGAGAATCTCCGCTGACAAATGTTGACAAACATGCCTGCTTGGGCTGCCAAGTTCTCTGCCAGGATGTCAAGTCCAGCAGCCCAGCCCTCTGCCGTAACTGGCATTCCCAGCTGTGCTTCTGGACCCCAGGGCTGACGGGCAGCTGGCAGGGGACAGCCAGGCCAGTTGCTCTGCTGAGAAACGGGCATTTTGTGGCTCACTCAGGGAAAAGCACAGAGATTGTGTCCTCTGGCTTCTTCCTCGGATGAAGTCTTCGTTGCAGAAAATAAAGGCATCGTGAAACTGAGTTTGTCCCAGTAGATTAGTATTGTGGGGCCAGTCCGTATTGTAATCCTGCATTGCTTAGAAGTTAAAAATATGGAAGGACTTTGCTTTTAGTATCAAGAGATTAGCATCCTGGGCCGCAGAGGCTGGCTTCAATGCTTGGCCAAGCCAAGGATTTTATTTTACATTTCACTATGGGAGAAGAAAATAAAAAGTTATTCAGGGGCAGTTTACCAGGCACTTTTATTGATAAGCCTCCATAATCTTCTACACAGTCCAAGAAAAAAACAAATGCACAGGTATAGATGGGGGGGGGGTACCCTGCTCAATAGTAGCAACTGTGAGAGAGATCTCGAAGTCTGGACAATCACTTAAATATGAGCCAGCCGTGTGCTGCAGCTGCCAAGAAAGCCAACACAGTGCTGGGCTGCATTAACAGAGGGATAGAATCAAGATCACGTGATGTGTTAATACCACTTTACAAGGCCTTGGTAAAGCCACACCTGGAATCCTGCATCCCGTTTTAGTCACCACGATGTAAAAAAGAGGTTGAGACTCTAGAAAGAGTAGAGAGAAGAGCAACAAAGAGGATTAGGGGACTGGAGGGTAAAGCATATAAGGAACGGTTGCTGGAATTGGGTATGTCTAGTTTAATGAAGAGAAGGACGAGGGGGGACCTAATAGCAGTTTTCTGATATTTGAGAGGCTGCCCAAAAAGAAGAGGGAGTCAAGCTATTCTCCAAAGTGCCTGAAGGCCGGACAAGAAGCAACGGATGGAAACTAATCAAGGAGAGAAGCAACCTAGAACTAAGGAGAAACTTCCTGACAGTTAGAACAATTAACCAGTGGAACAACCTGCCTCCAGAAGCGGTGAATGCTCCAACACTGGAAGTTTTTAAGAAGAGACTGGACAGCCATTTGTCCGAAATGATATAGGGCTTCCTGCCTGAGCAGGGGGTTGGACTAGATGACCTCCAAGGTTCCTTCCAACTTTTTTATTATTATTACTATTACTATTACTGTTATTGTTATTATTGTTATTATTATTATTATTATTATTTGAGATTTAAGTACAGGTAGTGCTTGACTTACAACAGTTTGTTTTGTGACAGTTGGAAGTTACAACGGCTCTTAAAAAAGTAACTTATGACCGTTTTTCACGCTCAGGACTGTTGCAGCATCCCCACGATCACATAGTCAAAATTCAGACCCTTGGCGTCCGACTCATATTTATGACGGTCGCAGTGTCCCGGGGTCGTATGATCCCCTTTTGCGACCTTCTGTCAAACAAAGTCAACGGGGAAGCCAGAGTCAGTTGACAACTGTGTTACTAAGTTATCAACTGCAGTGATTCTCTTAACAACTCTGGCAAGAAAGGTCTTAAAATAGGGCAAAACTCACTTAGCAAATGTGTCACTTAGCAACGGAAATTTTGGGGCTCAACGATGGCTATAAATTGAGGATTACCTGTACAGTTTTAGCCTGCACTCCTCTGTGGTTATCTGAGAAAGGAGGAATTCTATCAGTTGAAGTCACTTATAGGCACGTCGGGCAATGCTTTTATTATTTTTAAGATGTTCTTCTTGGCCACAACATACTTTAGACACAACATACATTCCC